GTCCTGTGTTTATGATAATAGTACGGTTTTTTTTCCTGAAAATACTAATGTTTATTCGTATATTTCTTTTGTATGTCAAACAATGGGAAACAAATATGGATATTCCACAAAGCAAACTTGGATCAAAGTTCAATTGTAAAAATATTTGTTTAATTGATTCATGTACGACACATACAGTATTCAAAGATAAGAAATATTTCTCTCATTTAAATATGTGTAAGGCAGATGTTACTACAATTTCTGGTAGCAGTAAATTAATTGAAGGTTCTGGAAGAGCTACAATAACTCTGCCTAAGGGAACAATACTTATCATAGAGAATGCAATGTTCTCCTCCAAGTCCAAGAGGAACTTGTTGAGTTTTAAAGATATCCGTCGAAATGGATATCATATTGAGACAATAGATGGGAATAATCTTGAATATCTCATCATTACCAAGAATGTCTCTGGCCAAAAGAGGGTTATTGAGAAGTTCCCATCTTTATTTTGTGGCCTGTATTGGACAAGAATTAGTGCAATTGAGGCACTTTCTACCGTAAACCAAAAGGTTACTGATTCCAATACTTTTATACTTTGGCATGATCGATTGGGACACCCTGGATCAATTATGATGAGATGAATTATAGAAAACTCAAATGGACATTCATTAAAGAATTTAAAGATTCTTTTAAATAATGAATTTTCTTGCACTTCTTGTTATCAAGACAAGTTAATTATTAGACCATCACCAACAAAGGTTGGAATTGAGTCCCCTGCGTTTTTTGAACGTATACAAGGGGTCATTTGTGGACCTATTCACCCACCTAGTGGGTCGTTTAGATATTTTATGGTCTTAATAGATGCATCTTCTAGATGGTCCCATGTATGCCTATTGTCATCTCGCAACCTCGCGTTTGCAAAATTAATGACACAAATAATTCGATTACGGGCAGAATTTCCAGATATTCCAATTAAGTCTCTTAGACTTGATAATGCTGCTGAGTTTTCATCCCATGCATTTAATGATTATTGCTTATCAATTGGGATAAAAGTGGAACATCCTGTAGCTCATGTTCACACTCAAAATGGTCTTGCAGATTCTTTAATTAAGCGTCTGCAATTGTTAGCAAGACCGTTACTCATGAAAACGAGGCTGCCCACTTCTGTTTGGGGTCATGCCATTTTGCATGCAACAATGCTAGTTCGTCTCAGACCGATAAATTATCATAAATATTTCCCGTTGCAACTAGTTTTGGGTCATGAACCTAATAAATCCCATTTAAGAATTTTTGGATGCGCAGTATATATGCCTGTAGCACCGCCATATCGCACCAAAATGGGTCCCCAAAGAAGGTTAGGAATATATGTCGGGTTTGAATCGCCCTCTATTATTCGCTACCTCGAAATATTAACGGGGGATTTGTTTACTGCACGATTTGCAGAATGTCGATTCGATGANGAAAAAATTCATCATTATCTCATCTTGATCCACGTGCCTATATTTGTGAAAAAGAGGTGCAAAAGATTATCCATTTGCAAAGAATCGCAAATCAAATGCCAGACGCATTTACGGATTTGAAAAGGATAACAAAATCACATATCCCTGCAGAGAATGTTCCAATCCGTATTGATGTTCCTATTGGACAATCTTCTAGTGTCATAGCTAATGAGTCAAAAGCACGCCTAAAACGTGGCAGACCATTAGGTTCCAAAGATCGAAATCCTATAAAAAGGAAAACAAATGATCAAAATGACACTACGAAAGAACCTCATGAAGAAATCCACGATTTAATAAATTCTGAGATTCATGAGGAATCCACTAAGCCCGAGGCTCAAGAAAATAAGGAACTATCAATAAATCCAATCGATATTGAGACAATTTGAATCGAATGGATATAGTGGTGGATTATATCTTTGCATATAATGTTGCATATAGCATTATGCAAGAAAGTGAGGATCTTGAACCTCAATCTGTTGGAGAATGTCGACAAAGACTTGATTGACCAAAATGGCAAGAAGCAATCCAATCAGAGTTGAATTCACTTGCAAAACGTGAAGTTTTTGGGCCTGTAGTCCAAACACCTAATGGTGTTAAGCCTATTGGCTATAAATGGGTCTTTGTACGCAAGAGAAATGAGAAAAACGAGGTACAAAGATATAAGGCACGCCTTGTTACACAAGGATTTTCACAAAGGCCTGGTATCGATTATGAAGAGACATATTCACCCGTTATGGATGCTATAACTTTCCGTTATCTCATTAGTTTTGTTGTCCATGAAAAGCTTGACATAAATTTAATGGATGTGGTTACCGCCTACCTTTATGGCTCACTTGATAATGAGATATACATGAAAATTCTCGATGGATTTAAAATGCCAAACACACATAATTCAAAGTCCCAGGAAATGTTTTCAATCAAATTGCAAAGATCATTGTATGTTCTAAAGCAATCAGGACGAATGTGGTATAATCGTCTTAGTGAGTATTTATTAAAGGAAGGCTATATCAATGATGTCATTTGCCCATGTGTTTTTATAAAGAAAACAACATCGAAATTTATTGTACTTGCCGTATATGTTGATGACATAAATCTTATTGGAACTCCTATAGAACTCCAAAAGACAATTGATTATTTAAAGAAGGAATTCGAGATGAAAGATCTCGGAAAGACAAAATTATGTCTTGGATTGGAAATTGAACATTTGGCAAACAGAACTTTTGTTCATCAATCTGCCTACATAGAAAAGTATTGAAACGGTTTTACATGGATTGAGCACATCCATTAAGTACTCCGATGGTTGTTCAATCACTTGATGTGAATAAGAATCCATTCCGACCTCAAGAAGAGAATGAAGAGCTACTTGGTCCTGAAGTACCATATCTTAGTGCAATTGGTGCACTAATGTATCCTGCCAATACTACAAGGCTTGATATAACTTTTTCAATTAATGTCTTAGCAAGATATAGCTCTGCTCCCACAAGGAGACATTGGAATGGAATCAAACACATATTGCGGTATCTAAAAGGGACTACCGATATGAGCTTATTTTATGGCAATAATTGCAGTCCTGATCTTGTTGGTTATGCCGAAGCTGAGTATTTATCCGATCCATACAAGGCTCGATCTCAAACAGGTTATGTATTTATCTGCGGAGGCACTGCCATATCTTAGCGATCGACTAAGCGATCAATTGTGGCTACTTCATCTAATCATGCTGAGATAATTGCTATTCATGAAGCAAGTCGAGAGTGTGTGTGTGGTTGAGGTCTATAATACATCTTATTCGAAACAAATGTGGTTTGAAATGTGACAAACTACCCACGATTTTGTATGAAGACAATGCAGCATGCATAACCCAATTGAAGGGAGGATTCATAAAAGGAGATAGGACAAAGCACATTTCACCAAAGTTATTTTTCACACATGATCTTCAAAAGAATGGTGATGTCAATGTGCAACAGATTCGTTCAATGATAATATGGCTGATTTGTTCACAAAATCTCTACTAACGTCAACCTTCAAGAAGCCAGTGTACAAGATCGGGATGCGAAGACTCAAGGATGTGAATTGATGCTCTCATCAGGGGGAGTTAATGCGCGTTGCACTCTTTTTTCCTTACAAGGTTTTGTCCCACTGGGTTTTCCTTGCAAGGTTTTTAACGAGGCAACCAAAAGGCGTATTATTAAACATGTGTACTCTTTTTCCTTTTCTAGAAATTTTTTCCTATTGAGTTTTATTTTAGTTAAGGTTTTAATGAGACACATTACTTATCGAGTAGACATTCAAGGAGGAGTGTTATGAATAAAATTCTATTTAGAGTGAATGTCTATCTTGTAGAGAGTTTTACTTTGTGGCTAAGTCATTTTTTCCCCTATAAATAGAGGGGCCTTGTCCCATTGTAAATCATCCCAAAATTCAATAAGAATTTCCTCTCTCTCTTTCTCTGCAATACTCTTCTTCTTCTTTTATTGTTTCATAACAGCGATTATTTTTCTTGTACACTAATGAAATATTTTATAACTTATGCCGCTATTAGTACTGCAGAATTTAATAAGGCCAAAGAATACGGCAATTATTTTATCTTGTACACCAATGAAACATTTTATAACTTGCACGGAGTTTTATGCTGAGATTATTTTTGTTAACAAGGTAATCTAAACAACAGAATTTAATAATTAAATTGTTTATGCCAACACTTATATCAAAAATGATGGGGCCATGAGTGTTAGAAAAGATCTCTCCAAGAAATCACACTTCCACGCACTTCATGATCTTTAAAGAGTTTTAGGAAGGACAACTGTAAGAGAAGTTGATCATTGTGTACCAAAACTGCAACTTACCCCGTATTAAGAGTACGTCAAATAGAAGTGAATTTGGAACTACAAAATATGTTCATAGAAAGAATGTTAATATAGAAGTCTAACAATAGAAGATTAAAAATGATCAAATTACAAACAAAATGCAAGTAGTGCACACGGAAGAGAATCAGAGAAGGTCGTTTGAAAAGGTTTAGCTCCATTCAACGCAAACCAATGCACATAATGAAGCAAGCCTACAATTAGGGGTGTACATGGATCGAGTTGGTTCGGTTTTTATCAAAACCAAATTAAATCAACTATATCGGTTTGAATTGGTTCGATTTTGTCGGGTTTTTCGGATTTTTTTGTTACATAAATATTATTTCAATCTTACTTTGTTAAAATTATAGATAAAGCTTTGATAAATGAATATATGTTTAGTAAATATTAAAAAAGATTGACAAACATATGATCTATTAAAATATTCTAATGGGAGAATTTTTTTAGTAACACATGATAGTTATTTTCTTAGCCGTCTAACAATAATTTTCCGTTAATTTACGCTTTCAAGGTTAATACATGAGAGGATCCCAAATATTTCTACATTTTCTAAAGAAAATTCACTATAAAGTCTTAAAAATATAAATAAAATTTATATATTTATATGTCGGTTTGGTTCGGATTTTTTTACTCAATACCAAACCAAGTCAAACCAAACCTAATCGGATTTTTTAATCGGTTTGGTTTGATTTTTCGGTTTGGTGCGGTTTTTCGGTTCGGTTTGAGGCCATTCCATCAAATCTTTGAGAAGGGGCCCAATCTCGTATTTGATGGTCGGCGTGGCGATAGGCTTCTTTAGAAAGGAGAGAATTTCAGAAAGTCATTCTCTCCAACCTTTTCTATCTATCTTTAGAAGTAGGGCGAGAGAAAGCAACCCTTCCTCTTGATCTGAGGTGCGAGGAGAAAGATTTCTTTTTTATGACTTCCACTTATCGATCATACCTACAATCATATAGATACAAATGTCTCAAAATGGCCGCAACATTTCAAAGTTCATGTAAATTTAGCAAATAACATAACAATACGGAAGCAAAGGGACAACCAACTAAGATTAAAACTTTAATCATCCTCAGTAAACCCACACTAAGTTTGATATTTACCGATATATTAATGAAAGTATGTAACTTCAGATATCTTGTAAAACCCAAGTTTCCAAAACAACAACTAGTTTCTTCCCTTCCACCAATCCATGGTTTGCTACTTGCTCTTACGAAGTATAATCGGACGGTTTCCACAGCCTTCCCTGAAAAGAGCATGAATTACCACATCATTAGGCATCTGGGTATAATATTACACCAATTCAATAACTAAACCTACTTCCAACCCAAACTTTGTGAACTCCGCAAGAAACCAGGTTTATGAAATTCATGCATACAAGTTTGGTTGATGTTGTTCTTTTCTCACTGATTTTTATTGTACTTAAACTGACTTTAGAAGCAGTCGTAAATGTTGTTTTCAGTATAGAGTTCTGTTACTTAGTTCCTTCACTATTCCTTCTTTTTTGTGGAGGGGGGAGGGGGAGGGAACAGGGATTACGCGTTCAAATACAAAACCAAGTGGCCTAATAGCAGGCACTCTTTATATCAACCCGAATCAATTGATATAAAGACATCAAAGTGGCATCAACCAGATGGAATATCAAGGGAACTGTTAGATCCAACTGAAAGCTACAACGCCCAAAGGCGGATCCAGGATTTTATGGCTGCGGATGCCACTCATAATGCCAAGCTACCACCAGTCAAGGATATTGTAAAAGAGTGATGTTTGGTCGATTCACTATATTTGAATATCTTAGTTCGGTTCGATCTATTTAGAATTAATACAATACGGCTAATAAAATTTTGGTATATAAATAAATACGCAATCACCAAATAAAAATATTTGGTCCAATTTGATATCAAGAAAAAAATAACGAATAACAAAGGAAAGTAATTAAAGTTATATTCAAACAAAACTTTGGAGATCTAGAAAATGAAAAAGGAAGCAAATACATAACGTACATAAGAAGTTTCGATCCTGGGGGCTACCCGGGCTAAAGGCCTGAAAAACTGTAGCTTTTACCATTGGCACCAACCGTCAGTTTGTTTTTATGGGTGGCGCCCTTTATTAATATCCATTTTATTATGTGAAATATCAGTATATACATTTAATGTTACCTGAGCGTCCGGGTGGCGTGACAACCCCTCTACACTACATAGATCCGCCCTTGACAACGCCTATCACTTATGAGTGATGGGTCTTCAAGAAGGTAAAAGCTGATCATGTAACTGTGACAGACCCACTACATCGATTATGCTGCAGTACCTTAAGCACAATAAGAGACACAACATTCATTATACTTGAATAACAGAAAACTTACCATTCATTTCTTCAAGTGCCGCAGCCGTCTAACGGGTTGGAAAAACTCACAAATCCATATCCCTTGGTCTTACCAGTCCGCTTGTCTCTCACAACCTGTCAACATGAATTGTAGAACCCCTTTGTTACCGAAACTTGCAAGCTACAACATACAATTATACAATAAAGTTCAAAGAGAGCAAGGCGAATATAAAATACTTTTTCTCCATTCTTTCTTTTCAGGTCTAATAACATCAGCATGATGGATCTTGAAATATAACTAATAGACTGTTTGGCCAAGTTTATTTTTGGCCAAAAATTGAGGTGTTTGGCCAAGCTTTTGGAAGGAAAAAAAGTGCTTTTGAGGAGAAGCAGAAAAAAGTAGCTTATCTCCAAAAGCACTTTTGAGAAAAATACACTTAGAAGCAGTTTTCTAAAGCTTGACCAAACACTAATTGCTGCTCAGAAGTGCTTTTCAAACTAATTAGCCAAACACAAACTGCTTCTCACCAAAAGTACTTTAGAGAAAAACACATTTGAAAAAAAGCACTTCTCGAAATAAGCTGATTTTTGCAGCTTGGCCAAACGGGCTATAAGAGACACTTCTTTTTTATCAGGCAACTAAGCTACACTTCTACATAACACATTACAACTGCAACTTTGGGCAATAAACAAATTACCAGTAGACTATGTCCTAATGAAGAGGTAAGGTATCACCACCGCTACAATCTTGTCAATTAGATGTAACCAATCTACAACCTTGATTAGATGCTCACTGCTTTAGACATCCAAAAACTGGCAATATCTCACACCCTTTTCATTGGCTTATTTCTTCAGTTTATGCAAATACACAGTAAAATACAGAACTAAGTCAACATGCATGTCTGCATTGTACCCCACCCCAAAAACAAGAAAAGAACACACACACACGAGCGCGCACGCGCACACAAACATACAACCTGAGGAATACAATTTTTGATCCTACAATGATACTATTAATATGTTCTCTTTAATTTTGACCATTCAGGAGAAGTCTCTCTCAAAACCAGATGCATGCGTACGACTATAGATGTACCCAGACTATCACTAGATGTCTATGCATTAGGATTTCTAGCTTTCTGAAGATTCATGAATGTTCGAGATGTAGAAATATGATGTAAGAAAAAAAAGAAAAGAATTAAATTTCTAGGGGACCAAAAATATCTCCCTTCATGACCAGATATACCAGTTCTCATATATGCCAATTAACAACAACAACAACATACCCAGTATAATCCTACATGTGGGGTCTAGGGAGGGTAATGTATATGCAGACCCTACCTGGAGAGGTAGAGAGGCTGTTTCCGATAGACCCTCGGCTCAAGAAAGCGTGAAGAGGAAGAGAAGGGAGAAGAAAAAGAAGAAGAAATAGGGGGAAGAAACAAACAAGAAGGAGACAAAGGACGATAAGACAAATGGGGGAAAACTATTGGAAATCAGTTCTCATGTATACCAGTTCTCATGTATGCCAATCAAAAACATAAAAATATAAAACTATTGGAAAAGTAAAATGATCTAACAGAACATACCTCAGCCATATTAAAGGTTGGAAACCTTGAAAAGGCTTTTGATAAGACATCATCATTCACCTCGTTCCCAAGATTACCACATAATATACGATAATTATCTGTGACACCATCCGAATAGTAACTTAGTTATTCCACTGTACTAGGATTTGCACCAATTCTACCAACAAAGGCACAAATAAGTGAATAACCATGGGAAACAGGTGCAAAAAGCCATCACAGAAGGAAGTGACTAGAGAACCAACAGTGGATACAATCACTGCAAACCATAATTCATGAAAGCGGAGCAATAAAGCATAATACTTAAACATCTTAGCCGCAAAAAGGATATACTCAAACATGTAGGATCTGATAGATTACTAGCAGAGTTTGTCTCCTTCACATCTAAGTTGCTCGGACTAGGGTGCGGCCGTGCGGGTATCCGATACGGGGACGGACCCGAGTATCGGATTCGGTAAAATCTAAATTTTAAGATTTGAGGGTGCGGATCCGGATATGGATACAGGTGCAGGGATTCGGCTAATAAAAAATAGAGCTATAAAAATATTGTAAATTTTGAGAGATATTCTGTGAAAATCTTACAAGAATATTGTAGAATTCAATCATTCATTCTCCAAGATGGTCATTATTCTTTCATTCTCCTAAATCTGTTTTATTTTTGATTTTGAGAAATCAAAATCTCAATTTTTCTCCCAAATTTGTCGATGGACTTCGGTCAAAGTGTCCAAAGACAGTTGACCGAATCCGGGACATATCCCGCTCCTGCTCCTGTCCCCATCTCGTATCGAGGGGACGACACCAAAATCGAAGAGTCCCCGCAACTTAGCTTCACATTCTTTTTTCTAAACACCTCTGGAGAAAGCACTAAAAGAAGTCAATGCATTTAGAAAGAGAAGACACAAAACTTCCCATATCTTAACTAACACAAATTCCTATAGTAGATCTATTTTCTATTCAAGCATCTATTATCCAGACAAGAGAGATAGCTAACACGGGTTATAAATTATAGTACTGTGAGATAGATAAAACGAGGTGGGGATAGGATGATTACATTAAGGATAGTATCGGGAAAGGAGACAATCAATATTATTAGTGCTTGTGCTCCACAAATTGATTAGCTGCAAAGCTAAGTTTTGAGAGAATATGAACACCATGGTTCAAGGAATTCCAGGAGACCAACAAACCTTTATAGGGGGGTGATGTAAATGGTCAATGTAGGTAAAGATAGTGACAATTTTGAACAAGTACCCAAGGGTTGAGGTTATGGAACAAGGAATTACGAAGGAAAGGCAATCTTAGAATGCACTTTAGCTTAAGATTTAGTAGTTGCTAACACATATTTTAAAAAGAGAGATTCTCACCTAATAACTTATAAGAGTGAAGGTAACCATATTGAAATAGATTTTATCCTTACAAGAAGATGTGATAGAACCACATGTAAGGAGTAAGGACTTGAAGGTACATCAGTACATGTGGAGTAACAGCAATATGTTAGTTAATCTAGATCAGTATTGTTATGGATTTTATGGAGTTGTTAGCTAGAAAAGAGTAGCAGATTGTCTGGTCGAGCCCTGTTTTGATTCTTGTATCCTTCTGTCCAAATTTTACTGTGCAATGTACAAACTAACAGCAATTCCTATACAGCACAAGCAATTTGAATTTCCAATCATACCCCGATATTGTTTGCAAGCACGTCAATGAAGAGCTGTTGTTCTTGTTTATGAAGTATAGTACCAATAGTAATACTTCTCCAAAACAGTCCTAGTTTTAACAAAATAAACTAATAGCAATAAGGGGCCAAAGCTATTTTTCCCTAGATGAATGCACAAGCAACGAATTCAAAAATTACCACTGCTTCCCTAAATTGTGTTTATAATGCAAAACACACCGTGTGCGGAATGTCAAAATATTAGGCCTACTTAGCTCCCCATTCTAGCATCAAGACAATCATTAGCTATGATCATCGTGTCTATCTCACTCTAACAAAGGCAGTCTGATATAATATTAGCATTTCAAAATAGGAAAGAGATAATGATCAAAAACAAACCTGGAATATCACTTTTTTCGCGAGTTTCCTACCTGAACTAACCATCACCAACTATTTATAACAACACTCCTCGACTAGTATCTGATGGTGCTGGAAACTCGCAAAAAAATGATGCTTCAGGTGTGTTTTGACCATTATCTCTTAACTTTTTTTAATAATTTTTCTATTAATTCCCTTAATTATCCGCGTGGAGTACCATTTGGCACCATTTTTAAACAAAAAAAAAAGAGACTGCACCGTCATGTACTAAATGAACATCCATAATATAATATATTTATAACACTCCCCCTTGGATGTTCATTAAAAGATAATGTGCCTCATTAAAACCTTACTAGGAAAAACCACGTGGGAAAAAATCCTAGTGAAGGAAAAAGAGTATACATATTTAGTAATACGCATTGCTATGTGCCTCATTAAAAACCTTATAAGGAAAACCTCATGGGAAAAAACCTTAGTAAGGAAAAAAGAGTGCATCGCGTATTTTACTTCCCCTGATGAAAACCTTGTTTTAAATATTTGAGTCTCCGCATTCCAATCTTGTATACCATCTTCTCAAAAGTTGAAGTTGGCAAAGATTTAGTGAGTAAATCTGCTGGATTATCACTTGAACGGATTTGTTGCACATCAATGTCACCACTTCTCTGGAGATCGTGTGTGTAGAATAATTTTGGTGAAATGTGCTTCGTTCTATCTCCTTTTGTAAATCCTCCCTTCAATTGGGCTATACATGCAGCAATGTCTTCGTATAAAATTGTGGGTCTTTTCTCACATTTCAAACCATATTTTTCTCGAATAAAATGAATTATGGATCTCAACCATACGCATTCCCTACTTGCTTCATGAATAGCTATTATCTCAGCATGATTTGAAGAAGTAGCAACAATAGATTGCTTTGTGGAGCGCCATGATATGACAATACCTCCATATGTAAATACGTACCCGGTTTGAGATCGAGCTTTATGGGGATCAAATAAATAACATGTATCTGCATAACTAACAAGATCTGCACTATCTTTGTTAGCATAAAACAAACCCATATCAAGAGTTCCCTTTAAATATCGTAATATATGCTTAATCTCGTTCCAATGTCTCTGTGTAGGAGAAGAACTATATCTTGCTAGTAAATTAACAGAAAATGCTATGTCAGGCCTTTTAGCATTAGCAAGATACATTAGTGCACCAATTGCACTAGGATAGGGTACTTCGGGACCAAGGAGTTCCTCGTTCTCTTCTGGAGGTCGGAACAAATCCTTATTTACTTCATGTGATCGAACAACCATTGGTGTACTCAATGGTTGCGCTTTGTCCATGTAAAAGCGTTTTAAGACCCTTTTTGTATAGGCAGATTGATGGATAAAGATCCCGTCTGCTAAATGTTCAATTTGTAGACCAAGATAAAGTTTTGTCTTTCCATGATCTTTCATCTCAAATTCTTTCTTAAGATATTCAATTGCCTTTTGGAGCTCTTCTGGAGTTCCAACAAGATTTATGTCATCAACATAAACAGCAAGTATAACAAATTCTAATGCCATTTTCTTTATAAAAATACATGGACAAATAACATCATTTATGTAACCTTCCTTCAGCAAATATTTACTAAGGCAATTATACCACATGCACCCAGATTGCTTTAAACCGTACAAAGATCTTTGTAATCTAATTGAATAAATTTTCTGAGATTTTGAATTCGCTTCAGGCATTTTAAATCCTTTAGGGATTTTCATACAAATTTCATTATCAAGTGAACCATACAGATAAGCTGTAACTATATCCATTAGATGTATTTCAAGCTTTTCATGCAGTGCTAAACTGATGAGATATCGAAATGTTATGGCATCCATAACAGGTGAATAGTTGTCATCAAAATCAACTCCAAGTCGTTGTGAGAATCCTTGTGCAACAAGGCGAGCTTTATATCTTTCAACTTCATTTTTATCATTCCTTTTTTGCACAAAAACCCATTTATGCCCAACTGGTTTTATACCAGCAGGTGTTTGGACTATTGGTCCAAAGACCTCTCTTTTAACAAGTGACTTTAATTCTGATTGAATTGCCTCTTGCCATTTTGGCCAATCAGATCTTTGTCGACATTCTTCGACAGATCGAGGTTCAGGATCCTCACTATCTTGCATAATATTAAGTGCAACATTATATGCAAAAATATTATCCAGCACTATTTCAAATCGATTTAAATTAATCCCATCACCGATCAAACTTATTAAAAGTTCTTCACTCACATGAGCTTCGGGTTCATTGATTTCTTCAGGAATCTCAGAACTAATCAGATCTTGGGTCTCTTCAGGAGATCCCTTCATAGTATCGTTTTGATCATTTGTCGATTTTCTTTTTCGAGGATTTCGATCCTTAGAACCCAAAGGCCTACCACGCTTCAAGAGTGCTTTAGGTTCACTAGCTCTCATGCTAGTAAATGATCCTACCAGGACATCAATTCGGATAGACACATTCTCTGCTGGGATTTGTGACTTAGTTATCCTTTTCAAATCAGTAAATGCATCTGGCATTTGTTT